AAGATGTTGTCTTCCTGTCTGTTTTCTCTTCCATTGTTATTTCCTGTCTCTGGATTGCTATCAGAGTTTTTCTCTAGTCTAGTTCTGGCTTATTATCCTTAGCTAGTTAACACTGAACTAAAGTTGCCTTAAAACTAATGGGGTGTAGTAAACGTTTTGTGGTTCTAATTTCAGAAGAAGTATAGTATGAGGTACAGTAAAATAGATAGTAAAATTAAAGGTAAAATGAAAAGACAATCTGCCAGGTAAAAGTAAAGCAATGTTGTAAGATACAGTGTTTCTAAGATATGTAGTAGTTATTCCTGTATATAATTTACTAGTCTATTTGATAAATTTGTATTTATCTGACCCCCCCCCCCACTTGCCTCAGTAGGGCTTTTTATCTTTAGTGAAGAGAAATTATGTGGAAGTTATAAAGTATAACCTAGAGGGGAAAATGTGTTGGGTGTGAGGGAAGCTCTATTGAATTATAGCTCTGCCATATTCAATAAGAAGAAAGAGAGACTTATTCCTGCCTGCTTATGAATAAAATTGGTACTACCTGAAGATTGGTGGGCTTTGATTATAAAGCATTGTGTTTTCTTTTACCTAGGATTGAGGAGAGAATAGTGACCCTAATTTGGTTTGCAGTTACCTCTTTGTGTTTGGTAAAGTTACTTTGAGCAGAGAAAAACCACCTTTGGAATGCACACTTAGTGCTCAGCTAAACCCCGAAATGCTTTATTCTCATTCTTTAGTGAACTCTTCTTCCCATTTTGCTAGGTTTCTCGTTTCTTGCAGATAACCTTGTTTTGTACTTTTCTAATAAAATTGAGGTATTGGTAGGATTATTTCCTCTTTTTTATTCTCTATTTTGGATACCTCTTTTTTACTCTCTGTTTTGGAATGTTACTGTGTGTGTGTGTTATAAAACCATTTTATTGAGATATATAATCCCATACCATAATGTTTACCCTTTTAAAGTATACAATTCAGTGGTTTTTTTAGACTGCACAGAGAATTATACAACCATCGTCACTATGTAATTGTATAATAGAACATTTTTATCACCCCAGGAAGAAATCCCAAACCAATTGCTTCATTTTTATTTTTCTCTCCCTGGAGCCCCTGGCAGTGGGCTAATCTACCTCCTTTCTCTATAGATTCGTTCATTGTGGACCTTCCATATAAGTGGAATCATATAATATGTGGTCTTTTCTGTCTAGCTGCTTCAGTCAGCATATTTTCATGGTTAATCCATGTAGCATGAATCAGTACTTCATTCTTTCTAAGGCTGAAGAATACTCCATTGTATTGATAGAACACATTTTGTCTTAAAAATTCATCTATTGATGGACATTTGTTTCTACCTTTTGGCTATTGTGACTAATGCTGCTGTGAACATTCATATACAAATATTTTATTAATAGAGAAGCAGTATGTATGTATTATTGAACATAGAACAATATAGCGAAGCAAAATGATGAAAATATCCCCACATCCAGAGATTCCCTAGCACTAACGCCTTAATATGTGTCCTTGCGGATCTTTTTTGTGTGCATTTAGGCTTAAGACCTCTTTTACAGTTTCAGAGTCTCCCTTTAAAGACACTACTTTGTTGAAGACATCCTTCATTTTGCAAAATGTTTTACCTTCATCTGGTTGCTTCTGTATTGCTGTAGTACCAACTAGTGTCTTGAAATTAATGCAATCCAATTCTGGCATTACCTAGAGTTAGTATAGATACCACAGGATTAAGGGCTCAGTCTTCCACAAAACTATCTTTATTTCAGACCCCAGCTCCAAGTCTAGGGGATTCGGCACTGACACTTATGGCCCACTAGTTACAAATTTGGGGGTTTTTGTGACCCCTTCAAGTTCAATAAGTTGATAGAATGACTTACAGAGTTCACTGAAAGTGGTATACTTTCAATTACAGTCTTGGTATACAGGATACAACTTAGAAATAGCCAGGTGGAAGAGGCACGTAGGGCAAGGTTTGGGAGGGTCCCAAGAACAGGGATCCGTTCCCATGGAGTCAAGGTGTGCCACCCTCCAGACACATCGATATGTTCACCAACCAGGAAGCTCTCCAGGCTTTGTGTGTCTTCAGTTTAATTGAGGTCTTATGTCGTTGGCCGTGTGATTGAACTCTCATCCTCCAGAGATTGGGGATGGTGCTCAAAGTTTCAACCCCTAATCATGAGCTTGCTCTTTCTGGCTTGGCCAGCCCTTCCCTTGAAACTATTTAAGGATCCACCATGAATTGCCATGTTAGCATAAACTCAGGCATGGTCCAAAGGAATTCATTGTGAATAATAAAAAAATACTCTTCACTGGAGTAATTCCAAGGATTTTTTGAAGCTTTGTGCCAAAAATTGGAAGCAGAGACTGGATATATAAAGGACACTCATGGTGTCTCTTACCTTATATTCTCACTTGTATTTTCTGTGAATAGAAGTTTGACAAACTGTTTGATGGATTCAAGTTCAGCTTTTTTTTGGGTAAAATCCATTTTTGGTGGTACTTTATATTTCATTACTTCAGAACACATCCCTGGTTGGCCTACTGGTAGTTGTTAAGATTGAGTACCGGGTTAGGATAATGGTAGACAAGTGGTATTGTATGCCACGTGTTTCCCCTTACAGCTAGAAAGCAATCTTTTGATGTTACTCTGGCATTATATGGGGTCAGTTGTCACATGATCTATGTACCTAATGATTAACACTAATCGCTATACTTTGTCTGAAGTTAGGGTTTGCAAGTCGAGGTCTTGTTTGTTTTTTAATTTTGCTGGTATTTCAGTAGTAAATCCTTCACATTTGTTGGTGTCCTGTCTCTCCATTATGGTAAGGTCCTGAATTTGGGGTTGGGTACCTTTTTGCGATCCGTTTAGTCCTGCAGAATGTTCTTGCTGAATTTTATGTTCCTCCTTGTGGCCAGGAAAGTGAAGCTCTGTGATTATTATATTTAAAATCAGCTGTCACTTACTTTGGTTATTTTAATAGGCTCTGGACTGTTTCACAGCAATGCTTTCTGAGCGTACAAGCAAACTGAAAATGGCAGAAGTTATTGGAAGCAAATTGAATATTTCTAAGAAAAAGGTATGTAGTGCTGTTTCTATTTCACTGTTGAAAGAAAGCCGAGATATTTAGTTTGCTTGCTGGTCTCTGATCATTACTTGGAATACCTTTTGCAATGTTAAATCCTTTATAAAATTTGGTAGTTTTATTGACACCTATTGTGGGCATAAAACTTCCAGTATTCCCATGTCAAATAGTTCTCCATGTGTTCCATATTCTTAAAGTGAGCTTCCTCATGTCCTATTATCATATGTATAGCCTATTCTCCTCCAGTGTTTTAATGAGCATTTTATTCTGTAGGTCATAGACCCAGTACTGTAACTATGTCTTAGTAACACCTTTGTAGGGTTTAGTACACAGATTTTTCCCCCATTTTTTTTTTATTATTCCATCATAAGAAAAGTTGCAAAGAGTAGTACCAATGAATACCTGTACGCTTACTACTTAGGTTCATTGCTGATGTTAATATTCTGCCATTCTTATTTTATATCAAAATATATATTTTTGGAGGAGAGAGGCTTTCAGGAGCTCATCTTAATGCAGTTATCTGGCATTCCCACAAGAATGATGACTCTAAAACGCCTTATGTTGAGAACCACAATACTAGAGATTTTTCTTAGGCTTCTGAAATAGTTGGGATGGTTTTGACTAGAGATAACAGAGCACCTTAATGAAAGAGACTTAAACAATAAAATATATTAACTGTATTAGGCAAGAGGAATGAAACCACCATGATTGGCTTTGACTGATCAATATTCATCTTCTTTGGTTTGGGAGGGGCCTCACCTTGCCAGAGTACTTTCTTCCTTTCACTTCTGTCCCAAACCTGAACAAAATCTGGGTTCTTTGGATTAGTGATGAAGACAAAAGAGGAATGGCTGTTGAGCAGACATCCAGGAGTGTCTGCCACAGCTCCTCTTTCTGCTTTGGCTGTAGTCACATGTACCATGGTTTCCTGCATTATGTTAGAAATTTAAAGAAGAAGAAAGATTGGCTGGAGAAAGACTACTTTGATTTTCTTTGAGGTGTAAAGCATACTTTTCACTCTCTTTATTGGGATATGTCAGTGTGTTAACTTCGAATGTAGGCAGAGGCTATTTGAATGGGTAAAAAGTATCATTTCAGGGAAACATCAATGTTTTCAAAAACACAGCATAAGAAATTGGGAGAATGAAAAAAAAATTTCTTGATTAACATGCCTGTCTTAGAAATAGAGTGTGATTGTTAATAGAGAGCTAGTTAGAGGGGCACAATAAACCACCTTGGGTGAGGAAATGTTCAAAGAATATGTGCATATTTACTGAGGTAAAATCTTTCCCTCCCATAGACTGAATTCTTCTGTCAACTTTATAAACCAGAGATTGTGATCAATGAACTAGATGTGCAAGTGGGTCGCGTACGGCTTCTGCGGAAACAAAGTGAGGCTGTTCACATACGGAAGTAAGGTCGTAAACTAATCTGTGAACTGTGAGGTTACTAGGAGCTTGATAGCAGGTGTAGTCTAGCACAAAACACATACCTGGACTGCGATCGCTCCATTGTGCTTCATGGTAAGCAGTAGTGTTTTCCCAAAGTATGTTCTGTGAAACTAGGTGTTAATAGGTGAAGGAGGTGATGAATGTCAATAGAGATCAGTCCTTGATTTTACTCACTGTATTTAGTAAAGTAAGCCTCAATTGAAAGTCAGGCTATATCTAACATTAGTCTGTAAACTGAAGTCTGAAGTTATATAAGATTCTGAGATCTAGGTAATAGTTATTAAATACTTACTATATCCCTGACTTTGTGCCAAGTGCTTTACATGTGCTTTCTTGTATAGTGGTTACAATAATCCTGTGAACTAGTATTTTTGTGTCATAGGGCTGCCATAACAAATTACCATAAACTTGATGGCTTTAAACAACATTCCTTCATAGTTCTAGAGGATAGAAGTCTGAAATGAAGGTGTCAGTAGGGCCATGGTTCTCCTCTGAAGGGTCTAGAGAAGAATGCACTTCTTGGCCTGTTCCTGGTTTCTCTTGGCTCCCAGCAGTCCTTGGTTTTCCTCGGCTTGTACCTGTATCACTCCAGTCTCTCTCTGTTGTCACGTGGCCTTCTTCCCTCGTTTTGTTTCTGTGTCTCCAAATCGGTCCCTTAAAAGGACACTAGTCATTGCATTTAAGGCCTAGCGTAATGCAGTTTAACTTGATTAAATCTGCAGACCTTATTTTGGAACAAAGTCACATTCACAGGTTCTAGATGGACGCGAATTTTGGGGAAAGACTATTCAACCCGTTAACAACTAGGTACTATTATCTTCTAGGTGAGGAAATCGAGACTAAGGTAGGTTAAGTAATTTGCCCAAGATGACATAGCTAGTACAGATAATGTCTTATCTTATTGGTGTTTTCAATCTCTGGAGCCTAGCATAGTACCAAGTATATGAATATTCAGTGTTTGGAGAGTGACTGAATTCTATAATTTATATGTTGTAAGACTATCTATTACAGCATGAAAACAATTTCTCTGAGCTCTTTTCTTACTCTTGTTTGTTAAATCTAGAAAATCTGGTTCCTCAGAGCAACGCTAAGAGAAGCTTGCAGCCTGGTTTTTATACTCATTTTTACCCTTTCCAGGGAGAAGTTCACTTTTGCTGCTACACGGCCATCCTCTGTTCTCCTTGAGCAGCTTGCAGTGTGTGTCAGCAAAGGGGAGCCTGTGCTGCTGGTGGGGGAGACAGGGACCGGCAAAACCTCTGCTGTGCAGTACTTGGCCCACATCACAGGTAACCCCCAGAGGGACATCGCTCTGTCCCCAGACACTTTACACTGACTACTTTAAAAAAAAAAAAAGTCCAAAGATAACTGGAGTTTAAAAAGTACCACCACACCACATGTAATCTCTTTCTGTGGAATTCTCTTAGTTCATTTCTAACATACGTTCTGCAAATACATGTACTACATTTTGTTTCAAAACAGATATGGGATTATATTCTACATATTGCATTTAGTTAAGCAAGTTGGACAACTTTATAAACAATGCTTCATTCCTTCTAATGGCTGAATAATATTACATACTGGGTATTTAGTTCTAATTTGTAGACATTGACCTACTGAAGGATCTTTTTTGTTCTCAGTTATTTGATGCTATAATGCCAATAATGCCATAGCGAATCTTTTTTTTTTTTTTTTTTTTGAGACAGAATCTTGCTCTTTTGCCCGGGTTAGAGTGAGTGCCGTGGCGTCAGCCTAGCTCACAGCAACCTCAAACTCCTGGGCTCAAGCGATCCTTCTGCCTCAGCCTCCCAAGTAGCTGGGACTACAGGCATGCGCCACCATGCCCGGCTAATTTTTTCTATATATTTTTAGTTGTCCGATTAATTTCTTTCTATTTTTAGTAGAGACGGGGTCTCGCTCTTGCTCAGGCTGGTCTTGAACTCCTGAGCTCAAACAATCCGCCCGCCTCGGCCTCCCAGAGAGCTAGGATTACAGGTGTGAGCCACCGCGCCCAGCCAACCATGGTGAATCTTATTTTGTCTCTCTCTCTCTCTCATATGAAAATTTTGGACGGTTAAGATTCCTGAAAGTAAAATGAGGGTCAGAGGAAATACACATTTCAAAATTCGACCTGTGCTCTGTCCCTACTTCCTTAAGGCACACACTGGATATGATTAGTGTTTAAGTTTTTGGAGTAATTCTTTTGCCCTTTCTTTCTTAAAGGCCACCGTTTGAGGGTTGTCAATATGAATCAACAAAGTGACACCGCAGACTTGCTTGGAGGGTAAGTATGGCTTAAAATTTTTTTCTTGTTATTTGTGTTTATTGCTTGAGATAAGAAATACTATGTTCTTATAAAGCTTAAAAATAGCCTTGGGAAAATATTCAAAGACTTACACCTCTTCCCTACCCAAGCAGGGTATTTATTTGTATTTGTTGAGTAGCTATTGGACGTGTAGATATTTTTCTTTAAAGTACAGTTGAGGTCTTTCTGTTTTTTCTTTTCTTTTCGAGGAGGTCTTTGTTCTTAAAGATTATACTCTGGAAGGGGAAGAACAGCCAGACAAGTATGTATGTAATCAGCTAATATTTGTGGATGCGGTTTATCTCAAGAATAAGTTCTGAGTCACACTACTTTCAATCTAGACACTTTTGCAGTTCAATCATCTCTCTGAAACTTTATAGGAAGGAAGTCTCAGCCCCTCTGCTTGGTTAAATGTTACTCATTGTACTCACTGTGGTCAGTAAAATGCTCTTCTTCCCTGTTGGTGTTTTTGAGTATGTTAGTTTTACAAACAGTTTTACTTTGTGCTGAAGCCTGTAAAACTGAATCATGCTATAGGATATCTTATATTGAGCTATTGCTTAAAAAAATCCTAAAGACATAAAATAATAGAACTTATAGTCATTGTTATTCTTTATGGAGTCTACCAAAAAGCTTTTCATTTATCCCTTTATTCGAGGATCATATTATATGCACTATTTTTATTTTTACTCTTTACTTGTCTCAGATCCCACTTTGCTACTTTGTTCTTTTTTTTTTTTTGATTGAAAAATCTGTGGATCTGATAGAATGCTACTTTGAAATCCTGCTTCCTTTTGGTGCCTTTCCTTTTCTTACCCATTACTTATGTTCTGCTCTACACATATTAATTGTATACTAAATCTTTTATAGTTATCTTCTGTCTTAAAATCCATTAGCTGAGGCTTATCTCTCTTACTCTAATTCTATAGTCACTTGTTATTTTTCCCAGATGATCTTTATATCTCATTTTTCTTTTATTTCTTTTTAGTTAATTGATGCATAATCTCTTCATTCTCATTGAGGCACTTGGTAATTTGTTCTTATTAATATATGTGATTTGTTATTGTACCAGCCATGTCTATAGTAATGTGTATGTCTGTTCTGTATCCGTGTGTGGATGTAAGAAATTAACAGTAATTTCTTACTATTAAGTATTCCTAACACAAATGGCATTAATCTTGTACTAATTAAACATGGACTGGGTCCATCTCTTCTAAGAATTTGTGGTGTTATGTCAGCCATGTAAGTCATTTTAAGTATAATGGGTGCACAGGAATCCATTTGTGCCCTGATGCAATTGATAATACAAAAAGGTTAGAATCAAAATATGATTAACTAGAATTTTGCTTTGCTGGGAACTTTGTGAATGGAATATGAGGTCTGTCCGGAAAGTATCCAGCCATTATTAATAAAAGGAGAATGGTGTGTGTGACATTGATATAACCTGGCAGCCAAGGAGAGTGGACTATAATACGCATGCGTGAACAATGATGACATAAGTGTGCTAGTCAGTAGGATGCTAGATGCCATCCAGTGAGCATGTGTACTGTGTGGCTGTAACATCAAGATGACTGAGTGAGTAGAGCAACGAATCTGCATCAAATTTTGCATTAAGCTTGAACATTCCTCCCCGGAAACTATTCAGATGATTCAAAAGGCTTTTGGAGACAGTGCAATGAGTGCAGCGCAAATGAAAGTGTGGCATAAAAGCCTCAAAGATGGTAGAGAATCTGTTGAAAGTGATCCCCGTTCTGGAAGGCCTGTGACAAGCAGAACACCTGAGAATGTTGAACGTGTACGGGTTAGGTTAAGAAACACTGGGAGAACTGTGTGAGGTCCCAAGGTGCCTACTCTGAAGGGGACTGAGGCATTGTTGTCCTGTGTACAATGTTTCTTCTTTCTTGTATCTTCTTCAATAAATGTCTCTGTTTTTCATATTACATGGCTGGATACTTTCTGGACAGACCTCCTATATCCATTTTGCCTTTTTGGTAGGTTGGTATCAGTTATCAAAAGAGAACTTTACTTTTCAATTTTTTTTTTTTTTTTT